AACGCAGGTTTACAAGATAGATGAATTGCAAGCTTGGATTGCAATGGTGCTGCTTCATGTGTGGGTAACTATTTGTAAAATGTCCTAGAATGAGTAGCAGCAGGTTTGTGTTTATTTAATGATGGTGGATGAGTCTCCCCAGGAATACTGAAGAGGTCTGCTAGTTTTAAATATCTGTGGTACCTTGTCCTAGAAATAGGCCATTACAGGAAGAGGCAAACTGTCACTAGGCTGGCTGATGTGGTTTGGGGAGGTATTCTGCATGGTCAGTGTGGCTGCCCCCAACAGCACAAAGGATGGCAAATGTTTAGTTTCAGCCAGACTATCGGTGCTTAATATTCTATTCCTAGCTACTTCTTGGAATCATGAATATTAAAATAACCAAATCCTACAGGTCAAAGCATCTTGCACATGGGATAAGAATTGGTTGATTTAAGGTGCAAACCATACCTTAAAGAGAACATAAGGGTTTTTTTAAGGTGTAAAACTGTAGTTCTGCTGTAGAAAAGATTCTGTGTGTCAATAATGCCTGAGAACAAGTACAGGGCTTTTAATAAACACTGTATTCTTACCACTGCACTCAAGATGCCAGCAAGTTTTCTAGACATTCCATCACAGAAATGTAGGATTTGGATATACATGTATAGATTTTAAAAAGTAAACAGTACACTTTTCCCCAACAGGAATGGAGAGAACAAGCATAATGTGTGGCATTATAGTTTAATACAAAGAATCTATCTTCAAAAATATTCATGCTGTCAATCAACTATTGAAGTGACTATGCACCTGTTGGAAGATTCCGGCAAAAATGCAGATGAAATGGGACATGGCGGAGGAGAGAAAGCTGGCTTACACCCTTAGAGTCGTAGTCACACAGATGTAACTGTGGGAACCAGCAAGAGGAAGATGTAGTAGGCTTTCTGTAGCGTGGAATAATCCGATATTCCTTTGAGATGAGGAAGCAAACCATTCTCTTCATTTTCCTGTCTGAAGGAGATTCAAACTAATTTTGTTTTCAATATTTAAAAGAACAAAAGAACTCAAGTTGCAATTCCCAGATACTTGAGCACATAAAATGCAAAAACTGTTTCTGTGTTTAACACTGCAAGATGGTCTGTGGAATTTGTCCACAATGCACTCGAATCTTTCTGGATGTAATATATTCATAAGGCAAGCTTCTTAAAAATCAAACCTTTTTGAGTGAATGTTACTCAACTCCTTAAATGTAAGCCTGTCTCTTAGTCTTTGTCTCAAAAGGAAAGACAATAGTAAAATGTAGCTGGATAAAATTATCAGCTCTGTATATTGTTAGACTAAAACTGGAAAAAAGACTTTGATGTTCACAAATTCAACACAGATGGCATTGTTTTGACTTTCCTATTAGAAAGCCAAATTTACAGAATATGATCTTTTTTTCAAGCAGGAACTAAAACTCCCTGAGGGCAAGAATTGGAACCTAATTAATCTTAAATTCCCTATAACACCTCTATTTTATAACATATAAATTCCCTATATATAATGTATCTTTAACACAGTAGGTACTAAAAATATGCACATCAAGAATGAAGTAGAGTAGAAATCTGAAAGAAGAAACTGTAATGATGAGGCTGGGTAGATAGCAAGAAGGAGCCAATTCATGAAGTCTTTTCACCTGTGCCAAGGTGCATGGACTTCAGTCTGGAACTGGTGATTTATGAGGCACACGAAGCAATCAGGCTCTTCGTTCTGTCCCTCCTATCTCCAAGTGAAGAGCACAGCCTGTGCATAGGCGGAACAGCAGGAGGAACTTGGCGCACGCAGCGAAGAAAACACAGCAGGTTGTGGCTGCTGTAACTTAATGAGCAGCAGGATTTAGAAGATGAGACTGGAGAGGAAGGCAGAGGCAAGCTCACCGAGGGTCTCCAGAGTACACTGACTTTATCCAATAGTGTGGATGACAGGCATTTGTATAAATGGTGGAAGATGGTAGTGAAATGGTCAGATCTGCCTTCTAGAAGGAATATTCTGTGGTCACGCAGTGGAAGACAGATTGAAAGAGAGGATAGCCTGGAGACAGGGCCAGGAAGGAGCTGACTAGGGCCATGTGTTCACTTCCCTCCTCTTGGGCACCACAGCTGACAGCCAGGAAGACTGATAAACTGAGCCTGTTGTCTCTGCTGGAGCCCATATTTTTCTGTCCCATACACACGTGACCTTAAACATAAATGTAGTTCATTTTTGTGTTATTGTTGAATAGTTTTCACTTTCCCGAGATTCCAACCTTGGGCATATCTATAGGATAAATAATAGCATTATGTAAATTGGATAAAGTTTCTTGGCAATGTTTAACATGGTTTGCTTTCTCCATATTTAATATAAATGAGCACACAGGCATGTATTTTGGCAGAACCTCTTGTGTTATTAGTACTCTAGTGGAGTAAGTCTGAATCCATATAAACAACAGTAAAATAAGCTTCTTATACTCACTGTGAGTGTTGGACAGTCAGAGACATTCAGCTCCTGCAGGTTTTTACAGAGACCTAAATCAAACAAGTTACATATTGCTATACAACGTATTACAAATATTTAAACTTAAAGTTTTTCCACCCTACATTCAATGCTGTGTATTCATTAGAAAGCAAACCCAAACCCCTGGTAAGTAACTTGTTCTAAGTATATGGTTTCCTTTCCTAGAAAAATGATTTCTTTGGACTTTAAATTAAAATATTCTTATTATTGTTTGAGGATTACAAAAGGAAAGGGGATGAGAGAAAAATACTACTTTGGAGGGAAAACTGTATATACTTAGAGCTTTTTAGCTTTGAAGCATTTGAAAAAAACCAATTTGGTTTTTTTGTGGTGTGACATTTTTGCTAATTTGGGAGGTTGTGTTTCCTTTTAACATTATGAAATTTTTCAAACATACAAAGAAGGTTGAGAGAATTGACGGATTGTACAATGAATATACTCATCACCCATATTCTACAATTCATATTTTACTATATTTGCTTGATCACATACCCACCTGTACATCTCTCTCTCTATCCCTCAATCCATCTTACTTTCTTTTAAGTAAGTTTCTTTTTTAAGTAATTTGCAGACATCGGGACACTTCCCCCCAGCAAATAACTTCAGCGTGAATGTCATGAATAATTCAGCATGCACAGTAATTGGCAGAATGTTTATATTTTAGGTTAGATATCCATAAAGTTTACAAAGAATTTTAGATTGACATGTGGAGATTCAGAAAGGCCAAGTGCCTGATGAGTTCCGGGACCAGAGACACCTGCCCAGCTTGTGATCTAGAAGGGAAATCAAGACATTTTGTGCAAAGAGCTAGACAGCAAAGTGTTACACAATCAGCTTTCTGGGTCTAGACTGGCATGAGTAAGACTCCAAATCTGAGACAGAAGAGAAATAGTGAGGGAACACAAAACAGTGAAGGGGAGGAATGCTTGGGGCAAAGAGGCATTCTAAATGGAGGAGACCACTACAGTCAGGAAAACTCCAGGCAAGGGGTGATCCTGGCATTCACACTGAGACAATGAATAGAAAACATCTGTTGCTTGTAACCTCAGAGCCCCATGATAATAACAACAGAAATATTATTAATCATAAATCCATTTTGAACATTTCTTCCTCCTTACAACTATGTCCTAAGTAATAAGTGCAAACCAGAACCAATTTCAGAATTTTAAAAATGAAAAAAATTCTTTAAAATGTGCAGATTTTGGAAGTCATCAGTAATACTGAAGGGAAAAATAGATTCCAAAAAGATAACTAAATTTGAGATTATTTATATTTTAAATAGCAGTTACTTGAATTCATGCAATTCAACAAACATTTACCAAGAACCTGCTATGTGCTAGAAACTCTGCAGGTGCTGGAAATACAGCAGTGAACAAAATAGAGAAAAATTCCTGTCTTTAGTAAGTTTATATCCTAGTTGGAGAAGAAGGACAATAAACAAAAGAGGCAAAATACTTATTTTGACAGATGGTGATACGTGCTCTGGAGAGAAATAAAACAAGAAATGGATTAGAGAATCACCAGTGAGTGGGAAGGGGTGCTACTTTAAATAGAGCAACCAGAAAAGATTTTGCTGAGAAGGTGACATTTGAACCAAGATGTGCAGGAGATGGCAAGGACAGTTGCAATTTACCCTGAGCATTTCTAGAGCCCACATGCAACATGATTGGTGATTGGGAGACGGCAAAGGAAAGAAAAAAATAAGTTCAGCAGAACATCCATTGGAGTCCTACTCTTGTTTGCACATCTCAAAGCTATAAGAAGAATCCTTTTAATTTCTTGAATCCAGTTTCAGTTTTCATAATGCTAAGTCCTAACAGTTTAACTGAGTTCTTCCCCTGGACCAGGAACTGTGAAGTATTCAGTGCGGTGAGCCTGTTTCATCTTCCCCCAAAATACTAGAGGTATTATCAGTCCCTCTTCACAGATGCTGAAGATGAGGTTAAGTAATTAGCCTGAGATCACACAGTTAAGCAAGTAGAAGAGCCTTGATTCACATTCAGAGCCCAAACATTTAGCCATGAAACCAGGCAAGTAGGAGGGCATGGAGCTTTGTACACCACTTTCTACATGTACCTTTATTATAATAATTGGAATGCCTTTGCCTTAAAATAAAAAATAACTTGAGTTCCATGTCTCTTGGTTTAGAGTTTATGGGCACTTGAATAGAATTTGTATTCTGCTGTTATGTGAAAATTGTATAAATCTTGATTATGTTGAATTCGTTCATTTCCTTCTACTTTTCTGTCTATTAATTTTTGAGAGTTTGATATTGAAACCCCAAGTAAAAAAATCTTAATTTGCCTACTTAAAAATAATTGTAATATATAGTGGAACTATATGTAACTTTGCTCTGTATTTTCCAAGTCTCCTGTAAATAAATGTGTTATCATACTTCCATAATTTAGAAGAAAAAAAACTTGAAAATTTGATTTTATTCGTCAGTTTCAATGTTCACAAAAGTCTCTCTTTTTTTTCCTTTTGCAATCTAGGGGCTGCCGTACCTCAGCTGGATCTCATTCTTCCTGAACTGCTTTAGTTAAGATTACCCAAACTTGGATTTCAAAGGAATACTTTCATTGTTCCATCTGTCACACCAAGTAATTGGGACCAGCTGGATGTCAGGATGCGGGTGGTGACCGTCGTAATCCTACTTTTCTTTTGTAAAGTCGCTGAGCTCCGCAAGGCAAGCCCTGGGGGTGCAAGAAACCGAGTGAACCATGGCCGGGCTGGTGGGAGCCGGAAAAACTCCAACCCGGTCAAACGCTATGCACCAGGCCTCCCCTGTGAAGTGTACACGTACCTTCACGAAAAATACTTAGATTGTCAAGAAAGAAAACTAGTTTATGTGCTGCCCGACTGGCCTCAGGATTTGCTGCACATGCTGTTAGCAAGAAACAAAATCCGCATACTGAAGAACAGCATGTTTTCCAAGTTTAAAAAGCTGAAAAGCTTGGATCTGCAACAGAATGAGATCTCTAAAATTGAGAGTGAGGCTTTCTTCGGTTTAAATAAACTCACCACTCTCTTACTGCAGCACAACCAGATCAAAGTCTTGACAGAGGAAGTGTTCCTTTATACACCTCTCTTGAGCTACCTGCGTCTTTATGACAACCCCTGGCATTGTACTTGTGAGATGGAAACGCTTATTTCAATGCTGCAGATTCCAAGGAACCGGAATTTGGGGAACTATGCCAAGTGTGAAAGCCCACAAGAACTGAAAAATAAAAAACTGAAGCAGATAAAATCTGAACAGTTATGTAATGAAGAAGAAAATGAACAATTGGTTCCGAAACCCCATTTGTCAGGAAAACCCCCAGTCATCAAGATTGAGGTGGACTCTTCCCTTTGCCACAACTACGTATTTCCCATACAGACACTGGACTGCAGAAGAAAAGGTTTGTAAGTTGGTTACTTTTTCATTTTTGTGGATGATTAAAAATGCTTTTTGAATATTATGAATCCCTGCACCCCCACCCCCAACTCCCCACCCCATGACTTAGAATTTCTGGTGTCATTTCCACCATGGGAGATTTTAGTGAGGCTCTTGACATATTAGTGAAGACACTCTCAAAGTATAGTCTGAGCACTGTTAATCTACCCTAGGACAACAAACAATTTTGTTGTCTCTTTCATTTCTGGCATGGGTTAATAACTTATTTGTAATATTAAATTAAAGCCAGATGTCATTGGATTAGCGTCATATAGAACATGGTATTATTCCTTCCAATTACTGTAAGGGTTTTTTTTTTTTTTTAAGAACAGAAAGGAAAGGTTAAGATGAACCAAGAGACTCCAACACATCTCAAAGAAATTATAGACAGGAATCTGTTAATGTTGAAGAAACAGAAGTCACTTTGTTGATTTATCAGCGAAGTCATGCACAAGGCTTGCCCCCCTCACTCTGAGTGTGGAAGATGGCACGTGGTTAGATCACACCATGACCATACGACACCAGAAGATTCGCTTACTATGACACTCTGTGAATTTTGATGCTAAAGTAGAGCAATTACAGCATTGTAAGCTGGGAGATGCCATCCTGGGATCCTCTAAGTTTGAGAGAAAGTGCTCATTAATTGAGAACCTACTGTGCTCCAGGTGTTCCGCATACATGCTGTCCACAGCTGCCAGCAAGGTAGTAGTAGTATCCCATCTGTAGAGGGGAGGAGGAGGAGCAAGAGGCTAAGGGATGTTCAGACACTTGCTGTGGTCTCACAGGTGAGCAGCAAAGCTAAGTACACCTGAGCCTGCTGGCATCCAGAATTAATCCAATCATGTTCAAACAAGCTCCTGAGCAAGGGAAGCATTAAAGAATTCGAGGAAAGTCAGTACACATAGTTTCTCTGTATCCAGATCGGGTGGAATTTCCCTAACACTGTTACAGTGAGTACTGGGTGCTTCATGCCAAAGAACATGTTTTACTAGGATTTTCTTTGTAATGCTTAAAAACTTGAATTATATATTTTACAGAACTATTACAAAGCTACTATTCCTAGACTTGAGTTAGAAAATTACTTGATATTGCTGAGGTTCTATCCTTAAGCTAAAGTTTATTTGTACTTGCTATACCAGAGAAAATAGAGTTAAACTCATTATCTGAGAAAAAATGCCATCAAAACAAAATTGAAGATTTCTACAACTAGACCACTCTGTAATTTAAGAAAAGATAACATAGTAGGAAAGAACTTTCTTTTTTACTGTTTTTCTACCCTTGGGCCATTCCCTCTCCAGTGAGTCTATTTCTGCCTTTGTCTTTGTTTCCATAATATTTTTGTCTCTTGCCAAAAATCAACTTAGAAAAATGCAAATTTATTTTTATTGCTTTCCTTCCTTAAGTTATTGTTATCTAAACACAACCTTTCAGATATGCCCCATAAACTCATTACCCTTGCTTTAGAAACACATATTATTTGCTAGAAAGCAAAGTTTCATGACACGCACAATTAGTACATATCATTCAGGCTCATACACTAAAGGACAACTTAAGCTCCTCCACTTATTAATAATGCTGTAAATCAGAGCCTATACTTTTTAGATTATAAAATGAAGGGTAGTTTTGTCTTTTAATATCAATATAAATCTCTCTCAATATGGTTGATATCACTCTATTGATTCAGCTGATCATTTACTTTTCATTTTTTATTATATTGTTGATTCCCATAAGTTTAAAGTCAAAGATCTTGTCTTTTAAATTCCCTTTGGTACTGCCTGGCACAGGGCCGTGTTCTTTAGATTGATGGCAATAATTGAGCTGCTTCCTTTGCTCTTACAAGGCAGTAATTTAAGCAACTTTTAAAAATAAAAAATACATAGAAATTAAAAATCATGACTAGAATTCAAGTATGACAATCTGGAATTTTATCCATTATAGTTTTCCTTACTGCATTCTACAAATAGATAATAAATGTCAACTACTAAGAATGAATGTTCAGCACTGTTCATCTCTTAACTCTCTGCCAGAGTATAGTAATATTTTTGATTGTGCCCCACATGTTGGACACCATGTAGGATCTCTTTTTTTTTTTTAAGTTGCTCAGTTGTGTCCAACTCTTTGCAGCCCCATGGACCGTAACCTACCAGGCTCCTCTGTCCATGGAATTCTCCAGGCAAGAATACTGGAGTGGGAAGCTATTCCCTTCTCCAGGGGATCTTTCCAACCCAGGGATTGAACCCAGGTCTCCCGCATTGCGGGCAGATTTTTTACCACCTGAGCCACCAGGGAGGCCCTAAAGAAGTCAAGAGTGGAACTAGCAGTGATATTAATGAGAAGACGTGTTAGTCGCTCAGTCGTGTCTGACTGTTTACAGCCCCATGAACTGTAGCCCACCAGGCTCTTCTGTCCATGGAATTCTCCAGGCAAGAATACTGTAGTGGGTAGCCATTTCCTTCTCCAGGGGATCTTCCCCAACCAGGGGTCAAACCCAGGTCTTCTGCATTGCTGGCAGATTCTTTACCATCTGAGCCACCAGGGAAGCCCACATTAGTGAGAACTGGCATCTAAAGGCTCTGTGTGCCTAAGATATAGCAGTTTTATGCATCGTCATTTAATCCTTGGGGCTTCCCCAGTGGTTCAGTAGTAAAGAATCCACTTGCAATGCAGGATACCTGGTTTCTGTCCCTGGGTCGGGAAGATTCTCTGGAGGAGGGCATGGCAAACCATTCCAGTATTCTTGCCTGGAAAATCCCATGGAGAGAGGAGCCTGGTGGGCTACAGTTCATGGGGTTGTAAACAGTCATAACAAGAAAAAGAAATAATAGCTGTATTCACTGGAGACAGGCACTTTGCCAACAAAACTTAGTCTTTCAAAGGGAATAAATGTGAAATTAGTTGAAAGGCATATTTATGCCTTATTGAGATGGATGGATTTAACAAAAATACATGAAAGTAAGTTTTAAAACTTTTTAGCTTCACACTTACCAGAATAATTTGCCATTTTTTAAGGATTCATTTTCCTGCTAAGATTAGGGCTGGGGAGAATTATGACCAAAAATTGCTCCCAGCTGCCTCTGAAGTTAATTTCACTATTAGTTTGAAGAGTGATTAGGAATCTTTAATTGGCAATAGACAAAGTCATTTATGTTTCTCTACCTACCACTACACCAAACCTTCAGAGTAGTTCTGACATTGCTGACAATCAAGATAGCCTACTAAATGGGAAATTACATGGAAAAAATCCCAATTTCCTCCTCAAAATCAGCAAAGTTTGGTGAGGGGAGAGGCAATGCTTGTCAGGGATGATAATCAAGTAAATTTGGTATTTATTGAAAGTTTACCAAAATTATTGGATAGCAGCAAATAACTACATGGTACCTGGTCTGGAAATGGGGGCATTGACCAAATTTGACTTCTGGTCTCAGGACATTTATATTTATATAATCTTTATCAAAGCCAACCATATTTCACATCAATATTTGCAATTGTCATTTAAGTTTAAGGTTAAAAACAAAGGACTGTTTTTACTCATCAGTACAACAAATAAGACTTTTCCATGTGTTCTAAGCCTACTGGTAGAGGCTTTGGTTTGCCTTTACTGGTATTACTTGTGGATCCTATTTTTACCCAGGGCTGCTGGTAACAATGCCAAAGTTGGTTCTGCAATTCATATTCCTCTTCCACAGGTCTACCACAGTGGTTAAGCTGGGTTTCAGGGTGTTCTCATAAACATTTTTTCTACCCATTTATTTGTGGTAAACCCACTTTAGCTTGTTCTACAGTGGTTGCTTGGAAGGCCTCTTGTCATTCACTCTCATGTCCAACCCAGCAGATGTTGGTTCAGCAAGCAAATCCTGATAAATAGGCTGCTTTCCAGAGCCTAGAAGATACTAACTCTGCTGGCAAGGAAGACCTCAGCCCTTAATGGCTTTGTTAGGGTTTTGGTGAGGACTTGGGCTTTTATTCATAGTGATGTGAGAAACAAAGGATCCTGCCATCTGGAAGATGGCAATCCATCTGGCAAAATGACAGATCTGACTTATGTTTTAAAGTCACGTGGACTTAGGACAATATTGGGATAATCCAGACAAGACGTGATGGTGGCTTAGACCAATGTGGTCACAGTGAGGGAAGAGAGGGGAGGTGGGATCCTGGGTATTTTGAAATGAAACTTTATTCCTCTTTTAAAAATCTGGGAAAATGCCACAACCATTCATTGTCAGTAATTATTCTAAATGCTAAATGCCAAGAAATTATTTCTTCTGCCTGCCCTCAAGTATTCTCTGTGGTTTTCAGTTCTTCCTAGGATCTCCATCTCCTTGTTTACATGGAGTATGTAGGAGGGAATGTAGCTCTCCATTAAGGGTCTTGCTGGTCCTAAAGGAGGATATTACCTCAGTGTTCCATTATAATAAATTCAAATCTTAAAATCTTTCACATTTTTATGTGTTGGCAGACACAGCTCTAGGTCAAACAAGACAGTATCTTATCAGAGGATGGAAATAAAGTCAATCCAAATTTTCAAAGCACTTTTACTATAAGAGGGCTCAATATTCTTATGGCTTCCCTGGTGGCTCAGATGGTAAAGAATCTGTCTGCAATGCGGGAGACCTAGGTTCGATCCCTGGGTTGGGAAGATTCCCATGGAGAAGACAATGGCAACTCACTCCAGTATTCTTGCCTAGAGAATTCCATGGATGAAAAGCCTGGTGGGTTACAGCCCATAGGGTCGCAAAGAGTAGGACATGATTGAGTGACTAACACTTTCACTTTCATACTTTCAATATTGCTGAATCATTTTGGGTTTCAAAATCACTGCAGATAGTGACTGCAGCCATGAAATTAAAAGACACTTGCTCCTTGGAAAAAAGTTATGGCCAACCTAGACAGCATATTAAAAAGCAGAGACATTACTTTGCCAACAAAGGTCTGTATCATCAAAGCTATGGTTTTTCCAATAGTCATGTATGGAT